AATTCAAGGATACAAGCTGGAAAAACTAGAAGTACCCACATCTCTAAGTAGATCTTGATACTTAAGATATCTTATTTCTGTCAATAAGCCTGGAAGGTCAAATGTTTCACTGGCCAGTTTCTTAAAGCCCCAGGCAAACAAGAGCATCTGCAGTACTAGGAAAGGTCTCTTTTCTCATCGTTTTTCACGGGCTTAATTGTGTCTTTAAAGCAATCACGTGACTGACTCATGATCCAACGGGATCCACAACAAGCCCTGATTTTCCATACGATTATTTGTCTAATAGAGAGCAAACTACGTGACAACAAACAGCAGCTTCGCACTCCTCTGCCGACCCGGGGGACTGGGAAGAGAGCGTCTTCCTTCCCGGAGCGTGAAAAATAAACTGCAACTTCAGAAGAGCACGTGGTGTCCGGGCAGCGCAGCTGCCAGCCTCACAGCTGCCGTGTGTTTGCCCACACACAGGAACGGGATGAGCGATGGAAATACGATCTGGCTTCGTGAGCCAGAATAGAACTGCCTCATCAGGGGGCTGCGAGCAGGCGCTGGTGTCACCCATCAGGAAGATATCCATCACGTCCTATTGGTTCCACGCCTCACGCACGAGCTGTGCCGCACAGGCCCTGAAGCGTCTGCTTCTCCTTCCCCTGCCCCAGGGGCCCACCCTCTGCGTCCAGCGGTCACCACTAGCTCATCCTCTACCTGCTTTTAGCTGCTGGTCTTCCTTTGCTAAGAAACTAACAGCATGGCAATCATGAGATGTAAATTAAAGATATCTTTAGACTGCATGGAATAAGGTACAGTGAGTGAATTCCTCGGGAACTTGTCTTTTAGATCTGGAATCTATCAAATATAAAAGACAAATAAAAAACCTAAAGAGGTACGCAATTATTTTTGGTTGACATTATAGTTAAAACCTAGATGTTAAAACTGTACAATAAACATAATGGCCCCAAGTGGAAGCAACCCAAGTGTCCACTGATGGATGAATAAACAAAATGTAGTCTGTACGTGAAATAAACTATTCAGCCTTAAAAAGGAATTCTGACACGCACTGCCACATAACTGAAGGCACCGTGCGGAGTGAAGGAAGCAAGTCACCAAGGACAAATACTGTATATGATGCCACTCCCAGAGGGAACAGTCACGTCATATTCAGAGACCAGGCAGAGAAGGGGAGGTGTTCGCCAGGGGCTGGGGAGGGGATGGGACTTAGTTTTCATGGGGACATTCTGAGGATCCTTTAGTCGGTACTCAAATCTATTTCTGAGGGCTTCCTATGTGCTCAGGATAAAAAGCAAGATGGTTGGATTCGCACCATCGAGACACCTGCCCGCAGGGGAAGCCAGAAAGCCCAGCGACCCGGGCAAGGCACAGTGAGCAGTGCGGTGACAGTGAGCAGCGGGCACAGAGCGGGACTCCAACTAGGAGGGAACCCGGCCAGTTCACCTGAGCAGCCAGGCAGACAGGCGAGCAAGAGGGAAAGGGATCCCGCAGGCTGGTGTACAGGTGACCTTCGGACACTAACCGGACCCCAAGAGCGAGGTGTGGCGCGGGTGTGGGGCCTACATGCGCCATGAGCAATAGAGAAAGGAGGGGGCAGATGGGAAGGGCTCTGGGGACCATGCTCAAGAACCTGAACTTCTTGAAGGTAAGGTGCAGCCACTTAGGAATTTTAAACTAGCAAGTGGCATGTTCAGATTTCCAATTAGAGCGCCTGGGGCAGCAGCCAAGAGAGAACGGGCGTCCAGAGCTGAGGCTCACTGTGCATCGTGGACTCTGCCGCCCAGCCCGGCGGGAGATCTCAGAGGGACAGATGGCAGCCTTCTGAGTGGAGAGGGGGCTGAGCACATCAAAGATACATATAGCAACCATCTTACATGCAGCGCTAATGACATACACATAAAGACTTTCCTAAAAAATAAAGGCTAGCAGCCCTAACATCAAAATGTACCTCTCGAGGATTATAATGCATCATATGCATTGTTACAACATGTAAAATTATTCCAGGAGAAATATACAGAACTGTCTGCTTCACTCTTGTACAGGTTAAAAACCAAGAAAGAAGGACCAATGATAACAGTGGCCACCAGGACCTCCTCTTCAGTGAACTTGAGTGGGAGCCTCCCCACCAGCCCACATCCCCATCGGGCCTCTGACGGACGGACTCCACGCAAAGCACTGGCTGCCTGAGCAGCACGGCGGGCTCCCAGCCGCAGGCCAGGCTGCCCCACGCCCTCCCACAGCTGCTACACAGCAGCCTCCAGCATCAGACCTGCCAATAAACTCCTTGGGTGCTTTCTGCATACATATCAGGACTGGCAAAGTGGTTAAAAAGTAACTATAAATAAGGGACTCAGTTCCATTGGGGAGAAAATATTTTATACCCTGCTGGCAACTCAAAATTGCACCGGATAATGAAACAAACAAAAATAAAACAAGAGAATGAAAAGAGCAACAAGGCACGCTTTCTTGCGGCCATTTAATCAACGGTACACTGGCAAATAGTCTTTTTGGTTATTCAACCTATAGAAGTACATCGCTTAACCTACTGTTATGGTATCTGTCAACAGGGTTTTGCATAATTTATAAAGGTGTAAGAAAAAAAGCCAGGAACCTCTGAGAAAAAAGAAACTCCACTAACAAGTAAAAGGACAACGCTGCCTACACTGAGGCGCAGAGGGAAGCGTGAGGCCTCTCAGGGTGCAGGGAAGGGGTGGGTCAGGAAGACTAAGATTCCCAGACTGCCCTGGCCGGTTAGCTCAGTGGTTGGAGCATCAGCCTGCAGACGGAAGGGTCTTGGGTTCAATTCCAGTCAGGAGCACATGCAGGAGGCAACTGATCATCGATGTGTCTCTCACATCGGTGTTTCTCCCTCTCTGTCTCTCCCCTCCCCCCTTCCACTCTCTCTAGAAAATCAATAGAAAAAATATCATTGGGTGAAGATTAAGAAAAAAAAAATATTCCCAGAGACAGATGGGGAAAGGCAAACATTGAAGACAAGGAAGTATCAAAAGAGAGGGGAGGGCAGGAGACGACATTGTGAGTGGCAAACCAGCACAGAGAAGACTTTAGTGTCTGTTGCGAACTTTGCATAATATGTGAAATAAGGCTGGACAGAGAGGGTAGGACACGGAGGACCTTGAAGAAGCAGCGAAGGCGTTCAGAAGGTCACGCCAGCGCACAGATGGCTGGAACAAGGCTGGCCAATGGAAACAGTGTCTGCAAAAGAATGCAGGGTGACCTGCAGGACAGAAGATGTGAGAAGCAGCCAGTGACCTGGGTCCCTGCCTCGGTCCAGGGGAAGATGACCAGGCCAAGTCTCACTAGAATCTCAACTAGGAAGCATGACAAGCAATGGCCACTCAGAAACTGAAAGAAGGCAGCAAGGAAGGCCACGCACGGCATGGGGGCCGCAGGGTTGGAGCAGCTGACACAGCACGTGGGCTGACACCCAGGGGAGGGAGCACGCGGAGTGGGCAGAGCAGCAGCTGGTGGTGGGGAGAGGCTCCGCACACAGAGGCCCACCGAGGGGTGAAGTTCCAGGGAGACGGTTGCTGAGGCCCCAGCACTGCAGGAACCCCCTCCCAGCTCGCATTCCTGCATTTCCGCACCATTCCTATCACCAGCCTAACAATCCTCCCCACCTCCTCCCTCCCCTCCCCTCCCCTCCCCTCCCCTTCCCCTTCCCCCCTCCTCTTCCTCCTGGAGCTCCCTGGAGTGGGTTCTTTGCTCTTACAACCAAAAGCTAAACCAGCACACAGACCTGCAAGCAGGAAGCGAGCCATTCAATAATCTGCTGCCATAAACACTGCACAGCTCTGGCCCTTAAGGGCAACAGGGAGCTAAAATCAGACCAGAAGAGAAGCAAACAAAAGCCTCACACCTGGCAGAGGGGCCCAAGGGCACTTCCTGGGGGAAGGAACGGGTGCAAAGGGTCTGATCCTGGCAGAGGTGTGGCCACTCTGTTGTCAAAACTGATCAAACTGTACACCTACCAGTGACCACTTCACGCCAAGTAAACGGTATCTCACTCCCTAACCCTAAATTATTCCCTTGAGAGGGCTTGAATTTTTGTTTTTCAAAACTGGGTTGATCTGGATAAACCTCACTGACGCAGAACAGAATCGAGGGGCTTAAACACCTGACTTTCGATGTGTATAGAACAGAAAGAGAACATCCAGCCGCGTGCTTGCAGTGGGGGGGGGGGGGGGCGGGGCTGAGAGAGACCCAGTGGGGCTTATCAGGGGGCTGGTATGCCGTGGTTCCCGACCTTGGTTCAAGCTCACACCGTCCTCAGGGCACATGTTCAGGCCAGAAGCATTTCCTGTGTGCGTGTTAGACCTTAACAGCAACACTGAACAGAAGGGCAGGAACACCTACAGTGATCTGAAAGCACTGGAAATGGTCTGCGTTTTTTTTGCATCTAGCGAAATGCTTATTTTCAGCCACACTCTTCAGGTAAATCACAAAGACTAGTAACCCCATTGTTGGAATTCTAATATGACTCATAAACTTGATACTAGGGGCAAACACTAATTCAGCAGAGGAATCAGAATAATGTCGATTCAACCCCATCGTATGGTGCTCGGTTGCAGGTAAAGGAATTCACCCATGACCACAGCGCTCTTCCGAAAGGGCAGCGGAGGGGGAAACCCTCTCCGAATCCTTGTTCCACTTTAACAAACAAAAAACAGAGCAAAACCCAGAGGAAGAAGCATTTAGTCAGAATCCCACTTCTGTGTTTCCAAAGGGAGAACCAACTCAAATTCAGACGTTACCCTGAGGGGCGTGTCTGAAAAACAATCGTGCAGATTTTGATTTCCAGAGACTTAGAGTTTAAAAACATCTCACAGAATCTAGATACAGTTCATAAGCATAAAACACAAAGTACAAAGGGAGCAATGGAGACAAACAACAAATCCGTTTATAGATCATCAAATCCAAACACTTAAAAAACATAAGAAACCAGAGAGGAAACTGACAAGTGCAGTACTCACGGCCATAATCAGCTCGAAGGGGTGTTTGTACACCCTCACGGGGGACTGGTATTTCTGCACCATGATTGTAATGTACCTGCAATCTTCTCACACCTGCAAAACACAACCGTGAAAAATAGCCAGGATGGGGAAGACTGAGCCTGGATTTGGACGTCACACTACACTCTGAGGGTAGGAAGGAACCACAGCAGGTCAGAACTCCATGCACACAGAAATCCAAGGTGACACCAAGGGCAGGGGAAGGCAATGGACAGTGAGCGAGGGAGAGGGAAGCCCAAGTGGAATGAGGGGAACAGCCCTGGCCTGCGGCCCGAAGGCCTCGTTCTGTAGCCGCCTTGCTGGGCCTTTCCCAGGGCAGCCCTGGGTTAGAGTCCTTTCCAGCAGTGAAACGTTACTATCTGATTATTCTGATAACAATACAAACAGCTCCTGAATCGTTTTCTCCTAGACAACTTCTACTAGAAGCCAAGTAAAAATGGTGGCACTGTAAGATATGAAGTGCAGGGCCACACAGAAATTTAAAAGTGGGGAACAAAGTGGGGGGGGGGAATACCACTGTTATCTCAAATTATGGACTACTCCTCAAAAGCTGGCTTTCAGCCTGGCCAGTGTGGCTCAATGGTTGGGCATGGACTCATGAACCAGGAGGTCACACTTTGATTCCTGGTCAGGGCACATGCCTGGGTTGTGGGCTCTATCCCCAATAGGGGGCGTGCAGGAGGCAGCACACCAATGATTCTCTCTCATCACTGAGGTTTTTATCCTTCTCTTCCTCTCTCTGAAATCAATAAAAATATATTCTTTAAAAAAAAGCTAGCTTCAAAGGAAACTGGCCCACCCCCACTTTGGAAGCGCACAGGCACCATTTCAGACACCTGTCTTCCAATGGCAGCGCCGCCCAGAACTCTGGCCACAGGCTCCTCTGAAGGTGTCCAGCATCAAACAGCTGTAATATCGGTAAGCAATCAATTCAATGCTGGCGCCTCCTTCCCTCGGCAAGGAATTCACGCTCCTGACCCCGCCCACAGGGGTTTTTCTGAAAACACACTGTACTCCCCCCCCCCCCCCCCCATTTAAACGTGAGAAAGAAAAATACATCCCAAGAGCCTACCTGCCCTGCAGAGGATGATCATTAAGGGTGTTGCTGTGCGCCGAGTCCGGGGAGAGGATCCTCAAGAGTAGACGTGGACTATCCTCCAGGAGCCCGAAGTCTAGATGCGAACAACACAACACAACACAACACAATCACAAAGACAGGCTGCGCCGGGACTGCTGTCTGCAGCGCTACCGCCAGGCAGGTCCGGGCTTCCCGGGTCCTCCGCTCAGCATCCCTCGCCGGGAGGCGGTGACAGTGGGAAAGGGCACGCACTCCCTGACCACAGCCTGAAAACTGCTCAGGATGATCGGCGGCGACCTCGGGCAAGTCACGTGACTTCCCTCGGACCCGGTTCGCCTCGGTAAGATGCGATTTCGGGTGAGATAACCTTGAAAGACGTCCAGTTCTACAATCATGAGACTCAGAGCCACGCTGGGCTGGAAGCGTCGTTTCTCTCCGATGCTGGGACCCCGTTCTATTTAGTGGGTGCACAGCAGGGGGGATCCCATCATCTTCTTAAATGTAACAGGGGAAGTGAGTTCAGGGTGCCTCCCGGTAAGGAGGCGGCTGACTGTCGGGGGTAAAAAGCGGTGAGGGGGGTGGGGGCGTGAAAAGCAGGGTGCTCGGTGGAGGCGCCGTGCCCCCACTCAGGACCCACTGCCCCGCGGGACCCGAGGGGCCGCGCCGAGGAACCTGCTAATTCACAGGCTCCTGCCAGTTCCCCGCGTCTGATGCTCGGTCCAGGGGAACGTCCTCCGTGGGAATCGGAGTTACTCGGCCGAGGGCGTCCAGGCCCGGGCAGCCTCTATTGCATGACAATCGGTCCCTAAGAATTAGCCAATGGCCAGACCCAGGGAGTCCGTCCCGAGCAGGCTCGCAGGGCGGCCGGGTCCTGGGTCACCGGGCAGGGGGTGCAGCGCGGCGACTCCGGCGGGCCCCCCAGCCCCGGCCGACCGGGGAGGTGCGCTGCCCGCAAGGAGGGTGTCCGAGTGGGCAGGCTGGCGGGGTGGGGGCGGGGAGGCAGCGACGGGTACGGGAACGGCGGCGAGGGCCGAGGGGTAGCGGGCCAGGGACGCGAGGAGGGCCGGCTCGGGGCCCAGGGG